ACGAGCGTTTCGTACGAGACTTCCTCCAAAAGTCACGCGTCAAGTCTCAAAAACGAGCGTTTCGCACGAGACTTCCTCCAAAAGTCCAGCGGAAACACCCATCGGAGCACACACATCACGCAGCCCTGCCAAGCAATTTCGCGATTCCAGCCCCTCCAAACGACACCCGCTCACACGCCAATCCCAATGTGACAGCGACATTCACCTCTACCACAACTCACAACCTCCCGATTCCCTGCGCCTGCCACGAATCTTTCCGCGTCCACACGTCTAACGCGCACAAAGTACTGCGCCTGCCACGAAATGTCACCTCCGTCACACATCGCAACCTCACGATTCCCTGCGCCTGCCACGAAAATCCCACTTCCACACCTCAAAAGCCACACAAAGTACTGCGCCTGCCACGAAAAGTGACAATACAAGTAGTTCCCGGGCAAGCCGGCGGCGGAAGTTTCCTATAAGAAGAAATTGACCTATAGGAGTGTCCACGTTCTCTCCAACACGCGCGTCCTCCAGTCAAACGCATGCGCTCCGGACTTTTGACCCACGGGATTCCACGTGTGTAAGGTGTGTGTGCCCCCTGCAAGAGATGACACACATCCGGCCACCACGACTTGCCAAGGATGCGGTCCACATCGACACACATCCCACCGTGGCATTCTTCAGCGGCGGCAAACCTTGCATATCACACATCGGACTGAATGGAATCCGAATTTGAATGTAAAATCTGTCTTGAACTCTGAGACTATGTATGATGAGTCTTGTATGATGAGGGGTGTATGACAAGTGATGAATGATGAGTGGTGTATGTTGAGCGGTGTATGATGAGTGGTGTATGACGAGTGGTGTATGATGAGTGGTGTATGCTGACTGGTGTATGATGAGTGGTGTCTTGACCAGCAGTTGAATGTCCTGTCCTGCATAACTGCAACCAAATACTATCAGTATGAACTGAACGCGCACGCCGCGAGAGATGACTCAGTCGCGAGAGATGACTCAGCCGCGAGAGATGGCAAAATAGCGAGAGCTGACTCAGCAGCGAGAGATGAATGAGCAGCGAGAGATGACTCCTCCGCGTACTACACTGTTCGCCAGTACAACTCTAGTTGTACTGCGATGTCGCCAGTCCTCAGCTTCTAGCTGCACAGATTGCTCCGCGTGCTAAAGTTGTACTACAAAGTCGCCAGTTCTCATCGTCCAGCTCTACAGATTGCTCCGCGTACTAAAGTTGTACTAGAAAGTCGCCAGTTCTCACCATCCAGCTCCACAGATACTCCGCGTACTAAAGTTGTACTACAAAGTCGCCAAAGTTGTACTAGAAAGTCGCCAGTTCTCACCATCCAGCTCCACAGATACTCCGCGTAGTAAAGTTGTACTACAAAGTCGCCAGTTCTCATCGTCCAGCTCGCCAGCTACTCCGCGTACTAAAGTTGTACTACAAAGTCGCCAGTTCTCAGCTTCCAGCTCCCCAGATGCTGTGCCTGCCACGAAATCTGCACATGGAGGTTCACAAAGCGCTGTGCCTGCCACGAAATCTGCACCTGGAGGTTCACAGAGTGCTGCGCCTGCCACGAAATCTGCACATGGAGGTTCACAAAGTGCTGCACCTGCGACGAAATCTGCACATGGAGGTTCACAAAGTGCTGCGCTTGCCACGAAATCTGCACATGGAGGTTCACCAAGTGCTGCACTTGCCACGAAATCTGCACATGGAGGTTCACAAAGTGCTGCACCTGCCACGAAATCTGCACATGGATTTGTGAAGTGTTGCGCCTGCCACGAAATCTGCACATGCAGGTTCACAAAGTGCTGTGCCTGCCACGAAATCTGCGCTTCTAGAAACAAGTGAAAACTCTAATCCCAATGGAGGGACGATTCCGACCATGCCCGAGCATGATCCGAGCATGACCCGAGACCGTCTCGCACCCGTCGTTCCGCAAACCTTGACTTGCCAGCTTCGGAGCCACCGGTTCCATTGAAAAATACAGCATTTCGTGCGTTCGCTATCTCTCCACAACGCATTTTGTATTGCGCCTGCCACGAAATCTGCACATGGAGGTGCACAAAGTGCTGTGCCTGCCACGAAATCTGCACACATGGAGGTTCACAAAGTGCTGCACCTGCCACGAAATCTGCACATGGCGGTTCACAAAGTGCTGTGCCTGCCAGGAAATCTGCACATGGAGGTACACAAAGTGCTGCACCTGCCACGAAATCTGCACATGGAGGTTCACAAAGCGCTGCACCTGCCACGACATCTGCACATGGAGGTTCACCAAGTGCTGCACCTGCCACGAAATCTGCACATGGAGGTTCACAAAGTGTTGTGCCTGCCACGAAATCTGCACATGGAGGTTCCCAAAGTGCTGTGCCTGCCAGGAAATCTGCACATGGAGGTACACAAAGTGCTGCACCTGCCACGAAATCTGCACATGGAGGTTCACAAAGTGCTGCGCCTGCCACGAAATCTGCACTTCAAGACACAAGTGAAAACTCTAATCCCAATGGACGGACGATTCCGACCATGCCCGAGCATGATCCGAGCATGATCCGAGCATGACCCGAGACCGTCTCGCACCCGTCGTTCCGCAAACCTTGACTTGCCAGCTTCGGAGCCATCGGTTCCATTGAAAGCCTTTCGCGCGTTCGCTATCTCTCCACAACGCATTTTGTATTGCGCCTGCTACGAAATCTGCACATGGAGGTGCACAAAGTGCTGTGCCTGCCACGAAATCTGCACATAGAGGTTCACACACTGCTGCACCTGCCACGAAATCTGCACATGGAGGTTCGCAAAGTCCTGTGCCTGCCACGAAATCTGCACATGGAGGTTCACAAAGTGCTGCACCTGCCACGCAATCTCATGAGTGGTGTGTGATGAGTGGTGTATGATGAGTAGTGTGTGATGAGTGGTGTATGATGAGTGGTGTATGATGAGTGGTGTGTGATCAGTGGTGTGTGATGAGTGGTGTATGATGAGTGGTGTGTGATGAGTGGTGTATGATGAGTAGTGTATGATGAGTGGTGTGTGATGAGTGGTGTGTGATGAGTGGTGTATGATGAGTGGTGTATGATGAGTGGTGGTTGAACAGCTGTTGAATGTCCGTAACACGGAAGTTTTGCGCACTAAACTTCCTTTGATCATCTCATGTGAGCTTCAACAAAATTTGCACCACACCACACGTTTGCAATGATTTCGACCCGTTCTGAGCACACTCCCATCCACCAAAATCGGCATTTCAGCTGAGACTTGTCACGAAAACAGAGCTTCGATGCCACACCCTGAAACGCAAGTCCCAATGGCACGGCCACATCCAACACCCCAAAAACACGACTCTCCAAACGCTAATCCCAATGGAACTGCGCAGCAATCTGCCGATCTCACAAAACGCTGCGCCTGTGCAGCGAAACGCATCACGTTTCTTGCGCGACATCTCATGCTCATGCAAATCACAATGGAATAGCGGCGCAAACTGACACGTGACACATCCATGAAAAGTCACTTGCAAAAGCTTCCCCCAATGGCAGCGCCTTAGCGCTCTACTGCGAACGGTTGCGGACGGTTGCGGACGGTTGCGAACGGTTGCGGACGCTTGCGGACGGTTGCGAACATAGAAGCAACGGGTCGCGAACAAGGCTCTACCCCCAGACCCCCAAGAGTTAAACGAGAACCCTTCGCTACGCATTCGGGAAAAAAAAAGCAAGAAGAAGGAAGCAGGAACCAAAGCAAGAGAATGCTTTGCTCACTCCACCACCGTCCGCAAGAAAATTACTGTACTATCAATGGAGGCGATGATGTACTCTCTGATGCTTCAGCGATAGTGTCACCAATAAGACTTGTGTGGAAATGCTCGGGCTCGAACTCTAATCTGGAACAACCTTGGTAAGCTAATTCTAATCACTCGAATGATGCTTGCGATGCGTGTGTGTGAATGGGGTTGAGAGAGGAGGTGGCTAATTCATGCTAATTCAATACGCGTTAAGGAGGTATGGGGGAGGTCCCAATTGATTCTATCAGCAAAATTGGGGTCAGGTGAGGGGTGGGGGTGTCTTTTGTAGTGATATGTAAAGTCCGTTCGACCTGTCAATTCTGAGCCTCCCCTTGTAAACAAAAACTTCAGCAGATCTCGGAGCTTGCTTTCGTGACAAACGAGCATCACAAAGGGAGCAAGAGCTGGGGCCACAACAATAACTACCACCATGAATACAGACGCTACTGGGGCCTCCTGGCCTTACTGCTCGGAGCAAGGACGCTACTAGGGGCTCCTGGCCTTACTACCAGGAGCAAGGACGCTACTAGACATCAATACATGACGACAGCTGCCCCAGACGAAAGATATCCTGCAAGTCCGACCCAAAGTTCTCCACCGGCCTGGCAGCGCTAAGAGAACAAGCCCCTTTTGGTTTAAAAGAATTGTTCATTGTTTATTGTGGCAGCCCACTACCTGACACAAATGTATCTTCTAAGCGTGTTTGAATGGGCTTTGACATGTTTTGTAAAATACTGTAGGATCAAAATCAAAGGTTCTCTTGATTGTGAGCTGGACGATGCATGTTTATCTGGCGACTACAAAAAAGCTAAAGCAATCTTGCGAAACATTCCGCTGTGGAAAGCGAGAGGATCCGCCGTGTGAGATTGATTGAGAAATTTCCAGTGAGATGCTCAATTCATCATGTATGGAGAATGGAGAGTGAACCTTGTCCATCTCTTCATCCCTTTGTGACATTCAAAAGAACAGTCAACAGCTGAACCACGAAGGACGCCTGTTGATTTTAAGAAAAGGAACTTCCATATAAGCACGAGCCCAAACATCCCCATCCATACCTGGGCTGTGCACTGTCAAGCGCCAGCTGCGCATTGATCCAACGAAGCAGGATCTGCTCCACTGAGATCGTGGCCAGGGCCTCATATACAAACCCGTCAAGACGGACTTCATTCGTGCAAACAGCCTGCGTTAAGAATGGTATTCCATGTCGGGAAGATTCACTACAGGCAAAACCTTTGGAACATAGCTGTTTCATCATCCCAAAGTCATCCCGGAGTGGATAGTTTTGGGTCACCCCCAACCGTGCAGATGAATATCACTGTATGGTCGTTTTGTTTGGGCGCTTCAATTCCACGAGCATGAAAATGAAAATGAAACTCACCAAAACAACAAAAAACACTACAAAGTTCAAGATTTCATGGCATGTCCAACAACCCAAATACGTCCTTGCTTTTGTGAACATAGATCAAACGGCTTGGGTCAATGACAATTCCCTAGCATTCACCCACAAGACATACTCTGATTTCAACAAGGGCTCAAATGACCACTGATTCCCCATGGTCCCATCCCCTACTTTAAAGCCGCAGTCAACAGATTCACCCAACTGCCTTAGTCCGGAAATGCAAGATGAAGACTCTCCAAATGTCCAAAATCACAGGTCCATCAAGGCCCCAACGCTTCTAGGTTGGAGGCCATCGCTAGTAGGTTAAGAAGCTCTTTTGGCCAAGCCCCCAAGACCCCTTCTCCGCCTGCAGTTCCTCCCCCCCATGGAGCAAAGGTGTTGGATCCTGGCCGCACAATGACAATAAGCTTCAGGTCGCCACAAACAACTCATTGCATCTCTTTGCCATTCAAAACAGCTCTTTTTCACATGTGCACCAAGCTATCAGGGTCAGCTCTTCATGGTTGACTTCTGAGCACGCTCCTCCAAAGCCTCTTGGTTTGCGCTATCGGCCATATCCTGCTCACATTCAAACAACACTATCTGTCATCTGGAGTTTAAAGATTAGCAAGCAGGCACATCTCCTCCATCTTGTCGAGTACGTCGTACAAGACATTCTGCAACGCCATGGCCTGTGTCTCTGGAAGACCATCCAAGTTCCAAGGTATCGATATGAACTGTTGCATCTTGAGCGCATGGAGGTGCAATTCCAACACCGAAAGTCTTGAGTTCGGATTGAAGAGACTGTTGCAAACTTACATCCCGCAGTGCACCGCATTAAATCTAGCCGTGCCTGCATATTGTTCATGTTGAAGGGGAGGTCCTGGCACTCAGGCTGCAAACTGTTCCTGTGTGCTACCGCCAAGCCCGCAGAATCTCAAGGATTCAGCCCACTTATTCTGCTCTCTCAAAGGAAGACTAAATGACGAACCGCATCAAACCGCCACACAGCAACCTGCAGCATTGGATGAAAAGCAAAGACCGCTGCTAAGAAGGTCAAAAGCTTCTCAGTGTCGCCTCATCTCACACCAGTTCGAGAAACCAAGGCGCATTGCTCTACACAGCAACAGTGTGTATGGTCTAAAATGAAAGAAAGGCCACCAGTCTTGGAGAACTGGCCGGAGGTGTTGCTAAGTTTCCAGGCCAGCTGCAACTTCATGCGGGACCAGCAAGCATTTCGCCCTTGCAGAAGACAACTTCAGCAAAGACCATCAACCCTATGACCTGCGACTTGATGACTCGCATCTCGTGCCTCTCAGTGGGGGAAATCTCCAAGAAGCAGTAGCAGAGCTGCACACTGCGTAATTCCCGATCAACCTCGCCCAAGGCCACCAAGTCCTCCGGTGCATCTACAATAGTTCTTAGCGAAAGTAGATATTTAGAGGCAAAAGTGCAGGGCCGAGAAAATGCCAGGAACCATCAGAAAGTCAACGAATGTTAGGTTCAATCATCAGGGACCAGTCAGGTTCAATCTGCTTGTTTCACCTTTAAACAGGTCCAGTCCTTCTGCGAGAAGGACTTCTCTTCTCGCTCTGCCTTGATCATGGCGTACAACGCTGTGAGTGCAACACAATCAGAGAGGTCGTCATCCAAATTCGAGAGGTCCTGGAGCACTTGGGCATACATGAAACCAGTCAGTAGAGAAACCAGTAGCTTCGGTCAGAGAGGCACCTCTTGCTGAGCAATGAGAATGAGCGCGTCTTGGCTCTCAACCTGACAAAACATACGGCGTCAAAGACCCTGAAATATCAGTCTCTTCAGGAGCAGATTCTTAAATGGCCGTATCTTCTTGTTCCTAGTAGCGATGCCAGGAGCCCCTAGTAGCGTCCTTGCTCCTAGTAGTAGGGCCAGGAGCCCCTAGTAGCTTTTTCTTCCTTAAATGATCTTAAATGGTCCTAAGCCAGCACATTGGATCGGCGACACCTTGGCCGGGTCATCCAGCAGTTCTTCGCAGTGCTTCCGGGCCTCGCGGCAGACACGTGGTTGCACGCTTCGTGCAGGTGGAGCGACACTTCACATGTGACGTAGGAGCTGGTGAAGACAGGAGCCACGTGTGTTTGAGCTGAATCTTGAGTAGTCTCCATTCCTCTCACCCCATCCATTCTCCAAACTTCACCCATCACTGCCTTCGCCAGAGTCCGGTTCATCCACCTCAAAAAATCTTTATGACAAACACAAAGGTTTAAAGGCTTTGCAATCTTCAAGAGAAGAACATTCATCCTCTGCTAGAAACAGTCATCAGCGGTCTTCAGCAGGCACTTGATCATTCCCCCAACCTATCTGTTTCAACAGCCGTTTCAGATGCGAAATCCTCCTCCCGACTGCTTCGATCGTTTCACTTTCGGACCTTAACAGGATCGCCTCAGTCGGTTCATCCACGCTCCCGGGATCTTCCAACAGCGGCCGGACGTCCTTTTTGGCAAGCCGATGCTTCACCTGCTTCACCGCTAAAGCATGGAAGGGCGGCCAGCCAGACATACAGCCAGCGGATGCTCTTTAAAAGAAAAGAAAACTAAAGAAAGAAAGCCCCTGTGAAGGAGGTAACGAGAAACAGCAGGTGATGAATTTTTTGAAGATGAGTTAGGACAAAGTTGTCGGACAAAGTACTGATCTGTCCATGTTTTGAGTGATGGCAAGGCTGACAAGACCGATGCCAAGACCAAGCTTGTTCTGTTTTTCTAGCAGGCCAAGAGGCACTGTTTGGATGAAGATCACAACGAGGGTCAAAACAGATTTGAAGTGATGCTTGTTCTCTGAAAGACATCAAACAAAGCACTGGGATTTAAGCAAAATCAAAGCCGGCTTCTGACAGAAGCCATATACCGGCCTCTTTTTTCAGAAAACATGGAAGCAATCTAGATTGAAGGCCATCGCTATTAGGATGGAGGCCATCGCTACCAGGTTGGAGGCCATCGCTATTAGGTTTCTTTTGCTATTGGGTTCCTTATATATATATAAATCAGGTGGCTTCGCTTGATCTCACTGTGTTTGCGGAACCACTTCTCAAATCAGTCCACCTCCAAATGATGGAGGTTCGCTTGGTGCACCACCAAAGAAAAGAAGAGCTCCAAACTTTGGGCTAAGACCTGCAAGAGCCTGGGCCGCTCCAGGACAGATAAGCTAGCACATGATGGAAGGTGGCAAAAGAGAAACCCTCAAGACCATCATTCCTCCCCTACAACAGACAAGTTCCTTGGATAGCGGAATAGTCTTCCCGGAATACAGGGAGAAGTGAAAGTCATCCCTTGCCATCCCTTTCCCCTATTTCCGCATGGCAGCGCCATGTTAATGAAGTCATCCCTAAGTCATCCCTTTGAAGCTTTCCCCAATGGCAACGCAAGATTGATGTACTTATTTTGCAATCATTTTTGGTGGGCTAACTTTGGAAATCAATGGTTTTAGCTTGTGTCAAGCAATGGATATGTCCGATAATTCATACGGTTTGGGAATGCATCTCCCCTTGTCAACGCTTATCTATCTAGACAGGGTTTCACAGGTCAGCTTGCATAAAACGTTGCATAGTAGAAGCCTAACAGAGACGACATTGTAGATTTGTTTCAAGCTAAATTCCTCAATATAGAAAAAAAAACGACTTTATCATTTGCCTGTAGTCAAGAGTGAGGAGAGATGGCAGCCATAGATCTATACGCATTGTCTTTGAACAATACTCAGATACTCAATACTCATTATCTTAGAAGCTACTGTGGCGTGTGATCTTCCCAATCCCCAGATACAGGGAGCAGCAAAATCACAATGCATGTCAAACCATGTCAAACCCAAAATCACAATGCATGCCAAGGAGCAGTTCGGGCTGCGTATCGGACCAAATTTGTTTCAGTCTGGATAGCTCCTGCTGCTCCACCATGCACTTCTCCTTAAGCTCGGCCCCTGCAGCCAGGGACTCTTCCAAGATACGTTGCTGCTCCTGATTCTCCATTTCCACCTCTGTGATCCGATTTGCTAACACGGAGGCCTCACAGGGATTCGTTGCTCTAGGATGAGAAGAGCAGGATTTTGACACAAATCCTAATTTGAGGTTGATGAAACTGGTTTCAGAATAAACTCCCAACAATTGCAGAATGTCCCTGCTTTTTCCCGGTACTTCAGTTCGGGTGGCTCCCGCAGCCAAAATTCTAGTAACAGAGTTGCCATGGTACGACTGTCCTTGAGAATTGTTTGGGGTGAGAAAACACCATGAGACTGCTATGGAAAGACCTCGTTGTGTTCGTTTTGTAACAATTGTCGCCACGCCTGACGATCCACCTCGCTGCACTTCTCCCTGGCCCGCAGCAAACGTTGCTGCGCAACATAGAGGCGCCAGCTCAAAAAGGGCGTCACACAGTCCTCCCCCGTGGCCAACACCGACTGTGACATCTTCTCCAAGCGGCTCTTCCTCCCCAAAACAATCTTGTTTGGAGATGTCTGGAGTTGAAACAAAGCGCGATGACGGAAAAATTGTATATCATGTGCAGAACCAGACCAGTCACATGTTTTGTGTTTGCAAACTCAAGATTATCAATTCAAGAGCAAATTGCAAAGTTTCAGCAATAAAAGCAGCTTGACATTCTTCTCACTCTGAGCGTCCGTTCTCTGTAGCTGAAAACCCAGAAGTTGAAGAGCCATTGCTGCAAGATCAGCCTTTCCTGCCCTTGAAGCCGCACTATAAAATCCAGCACACTCTTCCGCCGATCGAGGTGGAAGTCAACGATGCCTAATAAACAAGCAAAAAATGAAAAAGGTTGTGGAGCGAATTCCAAAAATCTGAGAAGCAATCTCCTCGCTCCCAGTGATTCTTGGTAATCTATCGCAAAATGTTGATACCTCTTGTACTGTATCTCTCAGCGGCTACCAACGAAGTCTTCAATTTAACCTGAATTCAAAGGCAACCCTCTTTGAAGCCTCTCTGCAGGATTTTTCCCAGTACATCCTGAGTTCAAGAACCATACACACACGAAGGAGCACTTCTACCCTCAATGCCTTTGGTCCATCTCCCAGAACCCCAACATCTTGATTCGTTCACAACTTGGCTTTGGGTCCACTTTAAACTTTAAACAATGTCACCTGGGGTGCACTGATAGTCCTTCTCTCATCCACAGCCATGCCATGCCCCGAGGCCGCGCCTTGCATCTTCGCGACATGCTGTTCCATCCGCTCAAGAGTGGCTTGCTGTCGTCGCACCACGGCGAACCAGGGCTGCCGCTCACTCAGGTCCTCCCGGCCTGGACGACGACCTCCTCCGGAGACAACGGTCTCTTCTCTGCAGTGTTAGTAAATACCCCCTCCCTACAGGACTGGACGATACAGGTGACAGCTTTCGATCTTCGCCTTCACTTCTAGAAACCAGGCAAAATAAACCATACTTCTCGTCCCATTGGAATTCACTTTTAGTTCTCCATCTCCTGGGCCACCTCCGAGAACCTCTGCGAGTTGCTCTTTTTCGGAGGCAAACGGCAGCCGTTCATCACTGTAGATGGCATTTTCAACGTGTCGCAGGATTCCAGCCGCAACTTTTCGGACCGGAGCAGGTAGAGTGTCTACCACGTCCTGGAGAGCAGTGCCATTTCTCGACTTTCGTCAGCAAAACTCCCGACTGAAACATACTGTAGAAGAAACAAAACAACTTCCTCGTTAATCGCACTTGGACAAATCTGAGAACACCAAAAAAAAAAGATCAAAACAATGCGCGTTAGCTTGTTGGATGTCTTTATTTACAGTAATTCTCAAACCTCTCGAACGGTTCAGAGTGTAGTACGACCAATTTCTTTGGAACTTCCGCAAGAGCTAGACTCTAGACCGCTGTTTGTCCCCTCAAGTTCGATTGCTCTTGTCTGTTTTGGATTTTTTGCATCGCACAAGCCGAAGCTGAGTGCAGAAGGTTAGCAATCTGCTTTGCAGAACGAGTTGAAACTTACGAGCTTGCAGCACCATTGTAATCCATATGGATCATCGGGAGGGGGGACGAACAAATTTAAAAAACCGGAGAGGAACATAAAAGAAGCAACAGGGTGAGGAAAACGCTAGTAGTAACAAGTGCATCCCTAGTAGTAACAGGTGCATCGCTACTAGTAACAAGAAGTAAATTAAACTAACTAAGGCCGGTCCGGGAATGTGCCCGCTTTCGGTGATGAAGCTTTCGGTGACAAGACTTTCGGTGATCAAGCTTTCGGTGACGAGGTGGTTGACACATGGTCAAGAAAAAAAGCCATGCCTTTGTTGGGCAGAGCTGTTGACTAGATTTAATTGATGATTGTTGTTGATGTCAAACTGATCAGGTGAAAATCATGGTGTAGGGCTCTACAGTATGAAAGAAGTTCTATTGTTTCTAGTCGTAAGGGGTATATACAGTAGATAGTTAGGGTCACGATCTTCCTACTTTTCCTACTTGTCTTACTTATTGTGCTTGACTTAGTCTTGGCTACCTCTTGTCTGGTGGTTTAAAAGAAAAAAGAAATCGCAAGTCAGCACCAAGGCACACGAAGCAAGTCTACCACCACGGCGGTCACTGCAGTGTCCGGCAACGTCACGCGCGCCGTGAGCCGCTCAATCTTCCGGAAGCGCGCCTGGAAGATCGTTTGGGAAAGAAAAGAAGAACTGAGAAAACACATCTTTCCCTTCCCTCGCAAGACCCAGACCTCTTGGGCAATCCTTATCCAGCTCTTGCGGCTGTGAGTGACTTGCCGGGCCGGCCTCGCATGCCAGCAGCTTGGATTCAAAGCCTTCTTGCTCCTGGCCATCAGGATGGAAAGGTACACCCTTGCCTAGACCTGCTTCATGTACGCGGATCAGACAGCTGCACTTTCAAGCATCAATCAACAATCATTTCATAAAAGAAAACAACTCAGCAGCTCAGTTATTGTTTGTGCGACGCATGCACAAAAGCAGGCTCTGTCAACCTTTGCTGCGGACAGTCCTTGGGAAGACCCGAATGCGTTTTGTGCCAATCCTGCATGCCGGAACTGATTCACATCAAGCCAAGTTTGGAAGAACCCTGATGATTCAACACTAGCGACCTTGTTGATGGTGGGATTCTTGGGCTAAAACTTGTGGTGGTTTTGATGTCACTGGAGTTCAGGCAAGAGTATGAGACTGGCTGCACAAAGGACGCTTGAAAATATCTGAAGTCAACCCATGGAATGGTCTTCTATCATGATTAGTACGGCAATCCCTAACTTGAATCCCAAGGACCCTTCAGATCACATCTCCCTTGATACTCGCATCAAAATGAGCTCTCCAAGAAGCAAAACTGCAAAGACCTTTGAAGCTGGAGTTGTTATCAAAGATCATTAAACTGAAAAGAGGAGTCTTTCTCTGAGAAGAAAAAAGACCAAAGATCTATAAATAGTCAGCATAACCCCTGCTGTTGACAGAGAACGGGTGCTGGCTAAATAACATCATTGTTTGCCCATCCCTCCATTTCTAGACTCGTGCACCGTCCTTTTGAGGCGAAAACCAGCTCGGAGCTGAGGGTGAAATGTGGTGAAGAAAATTCGTAGCTTCTTGTTCCTAATAGCTTCTTGCTCCTAGTAGTACGGCCAGGAGCCCCTAGTAGCGTCCTTGCTCCTAGTAGCGATGCCAGGAGCCCCTAGTAGCTTCTTGTTGCTAATTATAAAGAACTCACTGTTTGGAGACCTCAAAGTCTGGTTCCGACGATTCCATAGAGTGGACCTGTCTTTAGAGTCGACCAAGTCATCTAAAGGGCAGAGAAGTTCGGAGTCGTCTGGGAATGGCAGAAGGACCCTTGATATGGTGACTTGACCATCGCTAGTAGGTTGGAGGCCATCCCTATTAGGTTGGAGGCCATTGCTATTAGGTTGGAGGCCATCGCTAGTAGGTTGGGTTGGAGGATATCTCTACGGGGTTGGAGGCCCTCGCTATTAGGTTGGAGGCCATTGCTATTAGGTTGGAGGCCACCACTGGTAGGTTGGAGGCAATCGCTAGTAGGTTGGAGGCCATTGCTATTGGGTTGGAGGCCATCACAATTACTTCATTATTCAAAGCTATGAAAATGACTAATTGTCTATCCAGTCTATAGAGGACCTGGAAGGCTGGAGGTCATGATCAGCCCCTTGGGGTGTAGATAGGTCTGACAGACCCTGGCATTGACAAACACCGTATGACGACCTCGAGCGCCAACAAAGAGACTGGATCCCCCAAGGCTGCACCCAGCGCTGAGGGTAAGGCCTTGGATAGAGCCCAAGGATGAGATCGCTGTCTAGTCAGAAAGGTGATTGTAACCTACTTAGTGTCCTTCACTGTGAGTGGTATGTGTTTGCAACACCGCATCTCTCCACCAGGGCCTTCGAGAGTTCCCCATTAGCCGTCCCAAACAATCCCAGGGGGGGGGGGGGGGGGCCCCCCCCCCCCCCCCCCCCTGTGTTTCCCCTCCGGGGGCCCCCCCCCCCCCCCCCTCCGTCTGTGTTTCGCCTCCGGGTCACCACCCCCCCTCCCCTGGGTGTCCACCGCTTTGGTGGCGAAGTCCATACCAGTCTTCCCAACGCTCTCCATGCAGCTCAAGAGCGGGATAGCCAGAGTCAAGCTCTGAGCCCTCGGTCTTCACCTCATATCATAGGTCAAATGAACTTTTAAGAGAAGGCCAGCCAAGGCCCTACGGCGCTACCAAGTATGAGGGCCAACCTCCTCAGCATCCTTTGGCCTTGCTGCCCCAGTCTTTCGGGCCTGCAGTGTCGGCCGGTGGAGAAAATGGAAAAGAAAAAGTGGTCTGCGTGCAAAAGAAGAACGCACACACCGATGTAAAGGGTAGATCTTCGTGTTGAAATGCAGACTTTCTGGATCTCTGAGTCTTGATCTTAATACTAGGAGTTTCATCACCACCTCTGGCCGTTGTCTGGCCTCCCTCGCTGAGAGCGGTGTATCCAGCGATGGCAACTTTGGACCATCGCGTTCTTTCGGCCTTGTGAACAGTGTACTGTTTCTTCTGGACCGCGAACACGTATCTCCCACTTGTCCCCTCGAACGCCTCGAACTAACTCTTGAGGCCGGCTTGCAAACAATCCCTGTTACTGTTTGTTTTTTTTGAACAGGTCGAGAGGAAGCAAACCATGCAAAAACTCGGCAAGAACAAGCCTGCTCAACCCGGAAAAACGAAAGCAAACCAACCCATGTGCTTCACCTGAAAAGCAAAAAGCACATCCTAAAGGACTGCTCACATTTCGTACAACTCCTTGATGACAAATGAATCACAAACAACAAAAAGCGAAGAATTGCTTCTGATCTGACATTGCACTCTCTCTCTCTCTCTCTCTCTTTCTCTCTCTCTCTCTATCTCTTTCAGTCTCTCTATCTCTTTCAGTCTCTCTTGCTCCCGCCTGTAGGTCAATGGCGCACACAGCGCGGGCATGTGGATAACATCAGCGTGTCCGATTGTACTTAGAGCAGCACAAGTTTGTAATGGTACCAGAGAATCGAAGGATCTTGGAAACAAAAGGCCTTGATGTATCCTGAGTTCCGAGCTTCTACTTCAAAGCGTGAGGGCATCCATTTGCTGAAATCCGAACCAAGTAGCGCTACAGGGTCACCATAGAGATTCTGACCAATCTGTGCACAGCAGTTCTGGAAGTCTGAACCCTGTGTTCCCAAGTCTGCACCGTGGCACAGCCCAGCACACCACGGCTTGGCTGATGAGCGGTCCTAGCGTCGCCTTCGAGGTGCTGCATGAACAGTCCCAGCTCCTTCGTTCCCAGCCGAACACTGTCAAGGCAAAACAATCTCATCTGACACCCAATTGCATGCTGACATTGGTTCGTCAAATCCTTTGAAAACCAAAGTTTCCAAAGCCCATCGAGTCACACATCCCGAATGCGACAAAACCTGGTGCCCTCCTCATCGTCGCTGATTCGAAGTAACACAATTCCGCGATGTCGGTCTTCCACCACCTCGCGTGCAGGCTCAGGACGGTTAGGAGCTGCAACAGGGCAAGGTATGTTTCTGCACAGTGCCTTCACGATGAGGAAGAGACCCCTGCCAATCAACTGTCGACTGGACGAATTATTCAAACCCTTGGAGTCACCCCTTCCACCCCAAAGTTCAATCTTAGCTAGCCTCCCAGTGTTTGGGCGAATGGACAAAACAAATGAAACCCTAGCAACGCAAACTAAGGAAGTCGCATTCAACATTGAACTTTGGGGATAAGGGGTTGTGACAGTTATGTCGTATTCCACCATTGAGCGGAACCGGCGGACCTACAATGAGTATTCCGTACTCTTTCGGACAAAGCAGCCAAACAAAAGGCAATCACGAGCCATTCCACCTGATCCAATTCAGGCAAACGATCCCCTCTCGCATGATGCCCGGAAAGTTGGCCACCTGAGAAATGATCATCAAACTGACAAAGCACCAAAACGAACCGCTGACCCCACCTGGCGCTCCAGCTCACGGCTGAAGCCATCCGCTGACCCAATGAAACAACGTTCCTGGGCATCCAGAGAAGGACAAATCAAGGCGAAAAGAAGGTGAACTGAGAGGTGTGCCAAGGTACCACTCCAAATGTGCCAAGGACCAGGGTAGGTGAAGAAATGTGCATGACTCTCGAGGGCCAAGTCTATTCTCCCTCCAAAGTCTTCTGCATCCTCCCAAGTTGTGTGGAAATCCTACTGCCCAAACTCTAAGGGCACCACCTCAATCAGGGCAGCAAGCTCTGGACCTGTGAAGGAGGCCAACAGTTCAGCTCCTCAGGACGTAGCACAGCTATTTATGTTTGGGGATCTGTGGGGTAGGTCTGCAGTAAGTCTTGAAGAAGCCATGCCAAATGTTCGTGGACTCAAAAGATTCCAGGTTTGCGTTAGTGGTACTGGTAGGTATGCTTGCTTCCATAAAGTTCAAGATGGGCATCAATATGGTCCATGTGGTTGGCCTTCCTTGCTCCTACACCAGAGTAGCTCTGGGCTCCAGACTGGTGGGAGGGTGACAGGTGAATTCCGTTTTGCAAACGTTGCAAATCCTGGAGCACAAATTGTCACAAATGGACAAAAAGAGGTATGCAGATGTGAGTGCTGCAATTATATAATATAAGCCCAACAAACTCCATGCTGTGACATCAACATGAACTCCATTGCAAAAACTTGGATTTCACACATGCAGCACTGTGCACCTCTGTCGCGTGTCTTGGTCATACAAATCAGGATGAGTGGGCTGCGAAACCAGGACTGCTCGCTGCCACATGCGCAGACCTGGGAGGAAGACTTGAAGCACCCCACAAATGAATAGAGTCGCCAAACTGAGGTCTCAACACGAAAGATGAACATACTTTTGGCCACCAGCACAACGACATGGTGAGATCAGATCATCCACCTGGTCAGAGATTGAACTTTGGTAATCGGAGCAAAGTGGAACTGGAAACCAATGAGCCATGCACCATGTAGACCAACCGCAGTTAGGAATCTGTGCAGGCTTCCGTTGTGGTAGTAAGTTTGCAGCACCGCACCAAACCGCTAGGAAAATGTACTGCACGTGGCTGCTTGGACAAAAGCCCAGAAGCATCTCAGCCTCTTCTCCTTCAAAGCAAAAGCGGCAAAGGCGGTCCTCATCCTCCACTTCATCCTGACTCACTCAGTTCAAGGAAAATGCTGCGTGTGACATGTGCGTGAAGAATTACCTAGACAAGGCTTCTTGAAAGCGACTTGCGTTCTAACAGTCTTTCCCGCAGGGTGTAAATTCTATCTTGAACCTCTCAAGTACCACCCATGATCCTTTCCCAAATCCCCACCTGAACTTCATGAAACTTCGTTTGTCCCACGACTGACACTGCTGGCATTTCTTTGGGAAGCAAATACGTTCCTAGTTACATTTGCTACTGGGACTGGCTCAACTCTTGAATCAAATTCCACGAATCCTCGGCGAGAAGACTCAGGGCCTGCGCAAGCGCCGCTGGTTGAGGAGCGGACATAGAGTCCTTCAAAGCCTTGCAAATGAAAAGAAAGCACTCTCACAAAGTCAATCCATCAAGTTGACAAAAAGTCACAGGCAAAGTTTCATTCAATACATGTTCAAGTCATTAACGATGCCTGAAATTGTTTTGTTTGATAAAAATAGATTGTCAGGAAACATGCCTCAGAAGATTGTGGCACCTGCGTCGGTTGCCCAGCTGAACCTGGTCCACCAATGCATTGTCAGGAAAGCATCAAAAGCTGGCACCACTGCCTCGTCCACTCCGCCGGATCGGGCACCTCAAGCTGGGACATCGCCTCAGGATCAAGGATCTTTTTGATGTGGTCGCATCATTTTGGAAGATAAGTTGAGCAAAGAAAAACATGAAGCCCAAACTACTTTTTGCGCAAACACAAACAACAAAATTGGTGGTCTCCGGAAAATCCCTAATTCTGAGCCGTACTCAACGTATTGTAAGGTCGTGGCAGCTTCCACATACGGGTGCCTCTTGTGGTGTCCATGAAACAATCCACTTGGCTGTGGAGTGAGCTCAAATAATTGCGCAATATAAAGTATGATGCAACTACAATCCCAATGTGTTTTTCCGGAACTTGTTTGTAGAGCCTTGGCTTCATCTGTTTCCAGCTGAAGGGTAGGAAGAGACAAAAGGAAATTGCAATTTATTTCGAACCAACAAATTTGTTTTTCGTTTTCTTGTGATACGATTGTCACCTCGATTGCATGCACCACACACAGTCATGATGGTCTTCCAGATGTAGATGGTAGATTCTCCAACTGTCCAAGGTGAATGTCGGATCTTGACAACACCTTGTTAAAAACACAGCTACGCGAAGCCTCACTGAGTGAGTGAGTGACTGACTGATTAAGTGAGTGAGTGAGTGAGTGAGTGAGTGAGAGAGTGAGTGAGAGAGAGAGAGTGAGTGAGAGAGTGAGTGAGTGAGAGAGTGAGTGAGAGGGTGAGTGAGAGTGTGAGTGAGAGAGTGAGTGAGAGTGTGAGTGAGAGTGAGTGAGACAGCATACGGGCGTCTCCAAGTAGTCCGCACCAATCTACAGTAGTGCAACCGAGACAACTGACTACACTCTCCAAATGCCCTGTGTGCTATGTAACGAAGCTTGTCCGGTAAAGCAATGCTACATAGGGCAACGCAACCTATAAATGTTTCCGCTTGAATTTCCTGCAGGGAGGGCGGCAAGCTCACACTGCTCAATTTTGTGCAGTGTGAGAAGGTATGCATGTGGAGGGTGCCAACTATCGTGTTGGAGATGTCAACGGTGACCAATTGCTTGCAATTCTCATAAGCTCTATGCCCTATGTATACGGCATCTACCCCCAGGGTAACGCTCTGGATGCCCGACGAGTGAAAGCATCCCTGCGGGATCCCTGCAGGCGGGGACGGCATGGTAAGGGCATCCGGTTCCGCTCTGGTGCAAGGCAGGGACAGCTGCTCAAGTTTAGCGCAGCTTTCAAAAGCATAAGGCCTAATCACCGCTCCTTTGGCTAATTCACTGGTACCTCTTTAATTATGCCCACTTTTTCCTGAGCACAACATTCGGAAAAAAAACGAACGCCGAAGGCAACGCAGCCAGGCATTTCGACCATGATCAGGGCAAAACACCTTTTTGCACGAGTTCGGACGCCATGTGTGCGGTGTGCACAGGTCATCAAAAGAAGGATGGAGACTCTGCATGTTTGTGAGGGAAAAACCAGAAACCCAACCCAAAAACAAACACAACAAAAACAACCACAAAACCCCCCAAACCAAAACACAACACGCCACCCCAAAACAAACTAGCAGAGTTTCCCACTGTACTCATCGGTGAAACAGGTGCAACATAAAAGAGTGTTCGACTGTCTACTCGGGCCTTGAATTCACGAAATTTGTCAGTGATCTGCCGTTCTCACTTTTGCTGCAGAAGGCATTGAGGTGCGACAAGCCATGCAGGCCACTCCAAGTATGCTCAAGGAGTGCCAAAGGACAAAACTGCACCTGCAAGGTTTGAGTTGTAAGCACACTGGCCAGTTTCGGGTGGTTGACTGTATATACTTGTGCTTACAGACTGTAAGTGTCCTGGTCACTTTTAGTTGCAATTCTGTTCAGGCCTTGGAAAAAGCCTTCATCAGGGTACAACTATTCCACACAGTTGCACTAACTGAAGCGACTGTGGCCGGCAGTTGACAATCTCAGTGTAGGACATTGTATGCAAACACACACGAAGGTGCCCTGCGAACCTCCCTCAGCAGAGGGAGGAGACGCACACCGGTTCAGCAAGCTCCTGAGAACTAGTGGCAGCAGGAGCGTGGAAGGCGTGCGAAATGCAAAAAGGGGATGGATAGAACTGTCATTCATGGGTCGCTATCCGTTGTCATGCATGGCCCTTGTGAGACATAGTGAAACGTTGAAAAACCTAGCATGGTACTTGGTGTCCACTTTGTACAAGATTGG